CACACGCATACACACACACACATGCACACACACATACACATACACACACACATACACACACACACACATCTTGAACAAGTTCAATAACCACAAAATACTTTCCCTGACGTTAAATGCTCCTCTGTATTTTCTAATCTTGTCTATCTCTTGTCTCTTTGTCTCCTTTTTTTAAATGCTGGTTGCCACTCATGGCATTGATTTCATGACTGGTCATGGCCTGCCGTCTGGAAGCCCCTGACCAGAGAGTGATTGGAGGCTTGGGACACAGCTAGGCTGACAGACAGGAGCCTAGAAAGCTATGTCCCTGGACCTCCTTTCTGCAGAGTCCCCTTCCTGCATGAAATGCACAGTCTGGCTTCCATCACACTTACCAGTCTTGTTACTCATTGAATTAGTCCATTTTTCACACTGCTGATAAAGACCTACCTGAGACTGGGCAATTTACAAAAGAAAGGGGTTTAATGGACTCACAGTTCCACGTGACTAGGGAGGCCTCCCAAACATGGCAGAAGGGGAAAGGCACGCCTCACATGGCAGCAGACAAGAGAAGAGGATCTGTTCAGGGAAACTCTCCTTTATAAAACCATCAGATCTTGTGAGACTTATTCACTGCCACAAGAACAACATAGGAAAGCCCTGATCCCATGATCCAATTTCCTCCCACCAGGTCCCTCCCACCACACGTGGGAATTGTGGGAGGTACAATTCAAGATGAGATGTGGGTGGGGACACAGCCAAACCATATCACTCATTCCTTTGGGGGAAATCCTTTGTCTCTTTCAAGGCATCTTTCAGTAAATCTAGACAATGAACATATGTGGACAGGCGCGAGGTATGGAGGGGGCATGGAAACTATTGTTGAATAGGCACAGAGTTTCACTTTTGCAAGATGAAAAAAGTTCTGTGGAGGAATGCTGGTGATAGTAGCACAACCATGTGAGTGTACTTAATACCACCAAACTGTACTCTTAAAAATGGTTAAGATGGGGTGCCTGTAGTCCCAGCTATTCGGGAGGCTGAGGCAGGAGAATGGCGTGAACCCAGGAGGCGGAGCTTGCAGTGAGCCGAGATTGTGCCACTGCACTCCAGCCTGGGCAACAGAGCAAGACTCCATCTCAAAAAAAAAAAAAAAAAGAAGGTTAAGATGGTGAATTTTACGTTACGTGTATTTTACCACAGTTTTTTAAATCAATGTGTAGGCAAACTAATAGAAAAAGAGTGGCTGCAGTGACTTTCCATACCTGAAGTATCAGAGTTGAAAAACTTCTTGCAAGGCTTGTAGACCAAACCCCTCTGCATGCTCAAGCCTTGGGTACAGGATTTCCAAGAAGTGGAATAGTCACCAGGAGTGTGAAGCTCATCGCTCAAGGCAGGTTATCTTATCTTTGAATAATTTTGTCTGTTGACTATTGGAATAGTTCTCCTTCAGATAAGCTGAAATTTTCCCCATAGTTTCCCCTATTAAACACAATTCCACTTCTCAAGATCACCAAAAAAAAAAAAAAAACCCTAAATTCCCTCTCCCATGCAGTATGTATTCAATAAATATTTATTGGGCACATGCCTAAGTACCACTATCTGATCTTCCAAATCTTCTCTTTTCCAGTTTAAAATTCCAAAATCTGACAACTATTTCATATATGACATGATTCAATGTGCCCTCACCATCTGACTGCTCTTTTGAAATGATCAATTACCTCTTAACGTGGGACATCTAGAAACGAAAAGAGGCCAGGCACAGTGGCTCATGCCTGTAATCCCATCACTTTGGGAGACCAAGGTGGGAGGATCCCTTGAGGCTAGGAGTTCAACATCAGCCTGGTCAACATAGTGAGACACCATCTCTACAAAAAAACTTAAAAATCAGTCTGACATGGTGGCATGTGCCTCTAGTCCCAGCCACTCAGGAGACTGAGAGGGTAGGATTGCTTGAGCCCAGAAGTTTGGGGTTCCAGTGGCCATGATCACACCAGTGCACTACTGCCTGGGTGACAGAGCAAGACCCTGTTTCAAAAAAATAAATAAAATCTTTTCAGAAATCAAAACATTGCAATAACCAATAGCCCCAAATGATTTCATTAAAAAATGGAGGATTCTAATGGAATTTCCAGGCCCAGAGGAGCACAGTGTCATGGCAGGCTGGTGAGAAAGATACTTGAAGGCCATGCTGACATATTGCAAGGAGGACTACATTTGTCTTTCAGGTGCAAGAAAAAAATAGTGTAAATTCACCCTTAAGTCTTAAGGACAGGTACAAGATCCAGTCAGTCTTCACTCTTAGCTCTAATTTATTCCGTCTCATCAGAACCACGTAAACCATCACCCCACTTTCCTTGGAGTTAAATGCTTTATTCCATGTAGTGTGCCACAGGACTGCATCTTGCCACTACATAAATACACATAATGTATGATTTCCTCCCTCAACTCTGGAACCCAAACAAATGGATTATGTTCCCCAAATTCCATAAAACCATAATTCTCTTGAGTGGCCATGGCGCTCCTAAAGAATTTCCTTCTAAATATAGAGAGGTATTCCTCTGCAGAAAAAATATCCCAGCATCTTGGTTCTAATATATAATTAACTCCCCTCTAGATACTTTGCAGTTATGTTTTATGGCTTATTTTGAGTGTTCATATTTTATCAGAAAATTATAATTTTCCTCTAAATAGGAGTTTTTACAAGGCTTTTGAATTCTGATGACTGGCTTCATGTTTCAGCTATAATTAAAACAGTGAAAAGAAATAGCGTCACCATGCAGCACACGTGGTTCTGAGACTGCTTGGGCCCCCAACCCCCTGTCTCCCCACAGCCTGGAACCTGCAGGCTGGCGACACTCTGACCAATGGTGGGGGCTCCATTTTTGACCACTTAGTGGGACGGTTGGTTATAGAAAGAAACAGAATGGCCTGGGAAGAAGGAATGAGGAGACCAAAGTGCTCACCTCAGAGAAGCCTCCCAACCATGTTCCCTACCGATGTCCCACCTTGCCCCATTTTCCCTCCAGGAAAATATACTTTCTCCAAGAAATACACTTTCCCTCCAGGAAAATTCACTTTCCGTCTAATGGTTAGCTTAAGAGTTTACTCTCTGCTTCCCCTCTAGACTGCTAACTCATGAGGGCCAACGCAGTCTTTTTCTTTTCTTTCTTTTTTTATTTTTTATTTTTGAGATGAAGTTTCATTCTTGTCCCCCAGGCTGGAGTGCAGTGGTGCGATCTCGGCTCACTGCAACCTCAGGTGATCCACCCACCTAGGCCTCCCAAAGTGCTGAGATTATAGGCGTGAGCCACCATGCCCGGCCGCAAAGTCTTTTTCATTCAAGACGGTATAGACAACTTCTTGAACCCTGAATTAGTTTACTAGGCTACTATACCAACCAACCATAGACTGGGGGTTTAAACAATAGAAATTGATTTTCCCACAGTGCTGAAGACCAGAAGCCTGAAGTCAAGGTGTCAGTAGTGTTGGTTTCTCCAGAGACCTCTCTCTTTGACCTGTGCATGGCTGTCTTCTCCCTATATCCTCACATGGTCTTCCCTCTGTGTGTGTCTCTGTCCCAATCTCCTCTTCTAATAAGCACCCCAGTCATGTTGGATTAGGACCCACCCTAATGAACTTATTTTACCTTAATTATCTCTTTTTTTGAGACAGAGTCTTGCTCTGTTGCCTAGGCTGGAGTGCAGTAGTGCAGTCTCAGCTCACTGCAACCTCCGCCTCCTGGGTTTGAGCAATTCTCCCTGCCTCAGCCTCCTGAGTAGCTGGGATTACAGGTGCCTACCACCATGCCTGGCTAATTTTTGTATTTTTAGTAGACAGGGGGTTTCACCATGTTGGCCAGGCTGGTCTCAAACTCCTGACCTCAGGTGATCCACCCGCCTCGGCCTCCCAAAGTCCTGGGATTACAGGCGTGAGTCTCCACTCCCGGCCTTAATTACCTCTTCAAAGACCTTATCTCCAAATACAGCCATCCCTCAGTATCTCATGGGATTGGTTCCAGTACCCACCCTTGCTCAGGACACCAAAATTTGTGGATGCTTAAGTTTCTGATATAAAATGGCATAGTATTTGCATATAACCTACGTACATCCTTCTGTATGCTTTAAATCAACTTTGGATTACTTATAATACCTAATACAATGCCTACACATCACTTCATGTACATGGATTCAATGTAGTTCTCTGTACAGGGCAAATTCAAGTTTTGCTTTTCGGAACTTGGTGAAATTTTTTCTGAATATTTTTGATTCAGGATTGGTTAAATCCACAGATGCAGAATGCCCAGATATAGAAGGCTGACTGCACAGTTACATTCTGTAGTTCTTGGGGTCAGGATTTAAATATATGAAGTTTGGGGTGGGGGGCCGAATTCATCCCATAACACAATATTAGGCTACCAACCACTGGTGGCTGACTGAGAAAAAAATGAATGACTGATAGAACACAGAAACATGATGGCAGGCACGCTCTTGGAAGCAGCTGTCCTGGCACATGCTTCTGAAGGTCTTTCCTTTTCCCCCTTCCCTCTCCCTCAACCCATACAAGGGTCCAGATGAGTGAGTCTGTCAACTCCGGGTCCAACCTAACCAATCCAGTCACACAAAACCCTGTGCCACGAAGTTCACACATGATACTAATTACCAAGAAAGACTAGGCCATCTCCGGGAAGCGTGCCTTGTTTGTCTTCAGGGAATCCTCGCTCAGTAGGGGGACTGCAGAACACACAGAAGCCATTGAGTTGTGCGTATGATGATGACCACATCGTAGCAGGTACAACTGAGCCACCAGAGCTTGCCCATCTGCTCCCTCTGGGCCCTGGCCATGATTCTTTCTATCATTGCCTGTGAGCCTTTATATTCTTCCTCTGTATCCTTGCAAGAGCAGCCTCCTAATTTGTTGGCCATCGATGGACTTTAACCAGGGTGTTTGTCATGGACCTGTATTGCCACCAAGGTGGCTTTGACTCTCTGAGTCCTGACCCTCTGCTTGCTACTTCCCAACAGGCGTCGGGTTTGGAGTTCAAGTCGGTAGCCGACAGCGTTCTGTTTTTACGTGACAAAAGATGGGAAGAGGTCAGAGGTGCCCTGATGTCTGCTTTCAGTCCTGAAAAGCTGAACGAGGTAAGACATGAGAAATACAAACTCTCTTCTCTTACTGAGCAGGTTTCTTCTGTCCAAATCGTGATGAGAGCCAGTTCATGTTGCATGACTTGCCCAGGTGACACATCGAAATGCCTTGCCCACTGGGACCTTCAGACCTCTCTATTATGCAGAAAGCACCACACCCTGTGTTGAGTATCTTTCATTTCTCCAGCCTCCCACATCCCCAGTTGCCATAAATGAATTGTGAGTCAACAAGTACACAGGGCATTCGCCTGTGTCCAGAGATAAAGCTTGAGGCGCTTTGGGGACCCCAGGAGGAAACTGTAAGTGTCTGCTGGACTGTCATGCATAATGGATCACCTGGGGATCTGGCTACAATGCAGGCTCTGACTCAAGAGGGCCAGGGTGGCTTAAGAGTCTGCGTTTATAACACCCTGCCAGGTAATTTCATTGTTTCCGGACAGTGAACCACACTTTACATAGCAAGAAACTAGAGAACAGCATGAAACAAAAGTGAGTTGCCAATCGAATCTTAAATAGGGAGGTGATGGCAGTGAATGACTGGGGAGGAGTGGGCGATCATGGCAGGCAGAAACACCCAAGTTAACCTCCAGGCCAAGTTCAAGGGAAGGGCAGGCTCCACAAGATGCTACCAGCTCTCTAAGGCCCTGGACACTCTCTTTTCCCTACTCAATGACCCACTCTTTCCTATCAGCTGTGCACCCAAAACCTGGTGTTTGTACGGATCCAGACCGATGTCTCACACACCAGATCCTGACTGCTATGTTTTGTATCTGAGCCTGGCAGCTCAAAGCTGGTCTGGCTTTGGTGTTCGCTGTTCTGAATTCTGCAACCACAAGGGAGAGAGAACTTGAGCCCTTATGATATGAAGGGGCTAAGGGGCTTCTTTAGTTCCAGTCTCAGGTACACAGGCATCTCTAGAGCAAGGGAGTTTCCAAAGCTTGGCTGGAGTGCCCTGGGCTTCTGCCATCCACCCTGTCTGGATGTTCCAGAGTAGCCTGTCTTCAGTTCAATAAAAATGAAAGCTCCTTTTAGCTTAAGCTCAAGATGCTCACCCATATGGTCCTGATTGAATTCCTATAAATCTTCTGAAGTCCCCCAGAAGAGGAGGGAGTTCCACACCTCGTAATATCCAATTAAACACACTCAGAAACTAGTGATCCCTCCCATTTTCAATGAGGTTTTGATTTGCATTTCCATGGGTAGCTGTTGGTGTTTGGGGGCAGAGCCTGCCTCTGTACGCAGCGCCAGCTCACACTCACAGCTCAGAGTCAGGTTCCAAGGGTTGCCCATTTAGACTAACACACTGCCTCTTCACCACACTCCTGCGAGATAAATACTGTCATACTTATTATTACTAACCTGGTTTACAGAGGAGGAAACTAGGCACAGAGAGATTAAGTAGCGTGCTCCCAGTCTCATAGCTAGTAAGCAGCAGAGCCAAAATCAGAATCCAGCTCCAGAGCGCTCTTCGCGTCTCTGCCTGACCGCTTGCTACCTCCATGTGATTTTCCAGTGGTGCTCGGAGGCCACCTAGGACTGTGCCAGGGGCTGTCTGGAGGGTGCAGGAAGGGGAAGTATAGCAAACGGGGCCTTGGTGGAAAGCTGGGGGGTGGGGGAGGGTCAGAAGCAACACTTCTCTATTTTCTGCCTAAGTTTGGAACCAACTGAGGTATGGAAACAGGTTGTAGGCAAAGGAAATAAAATTTTCTCTTATCTTACTGGTAAAGCTGTTTGAAAGATAGAGTCCCCATCTGATCACATGGGCTTGCTATGCTAATACTTCACCCAGAATGGGACAATTGCAGGGGGGTGGCAGATGCCATCGGGGCTGGCCCGTGGCCCACATATGCTCAGTTCCTTCCTCCCAGACTGGGTCTGATACAGCATAGACAGCAGGAGATGCAGTGACACAGATGCAGCCGTTGGTCAGTGGGGTCCACCAGGATTACTTGGGGGACTCTGAAAACTGTTGCTGCCTGGGCCCCACACCTAGAAATTCTGATTCAGTTGGTTTGCTTTGGGATGCAGCCTGCATTTGAGGATATTTTTTTCAGGCTCCCCAGGTGATTGTCATGTAAAGCCAGTATTGGGAACCACGACCAGCAGAAGTTCCCCACGAGGACATGCGAGGAAAGTGGCTCCTGCTTCCACTGCAGCCATTAGCCCTGCTCACTCCGATCTGTGTTCTCTATTGAGGATTCACGGGAGAATGGGAAGGAACGGCCTGCATCTTAAAACTAAAACCACTGCTCTAAACCATGTAGACAAGCTGCATGGGGTGTGCCCCTTTTTCACATCCAACCACTAAAAGGTTGAGTTAGCCAAGAGAAGGCCAGGGGAAGAGAGGAGAGGTAGGTGAGCCTAGGGCTGGCATCACTAGCGTATATGTCTTTATTCAAAAGCAACGGCTTCACCACACTATAGAAGTAGAAAGAACCTTGTGTGTGAAAAAGAAATTGGTAAAGAGTATCTGAGAAGAGAATAAAAGAGAAAGAAAGAAAAGTAAGCAAGGAAAGGAAAATAAAGTTTAGCAGTCCTGGGCTATGATTCTTTGATAAGGAATTTTATCACGGTCTAGATTCCTTTAACCCCTTACAGGGGATACTCCAGAAAGTGATACATTGTCATCTCCCAAGCAAATCCAGTGCTCTTGAGGTCCAGTCTTCTCCCTATAGTCCAGAAATCAAATGCATAGTGCCTGAATTAATTGCAGAAAATAGAGTTACTCCATCTGTCCACAGCATTCAGATGCCAAGAGAAGTCAGGCGAGGTGGCTCATGCCTGTAATCTCAGCACTTTGGGAGGCTGAAGCGGGTGGATCACCTGAGGTCAGGAGTTCGAGACCAGCTTGACCAACATGGTGAAACCCTGTCTCTACTAAGAATGCAAAAAGTAGCCAGTGTGCTGGCACGCACCTATAACCCCAGCTACTCAGGAGCCTGAGGCAAGAGAATCGCTTGAACCCAGGAGGCAGAGGTTGCAGTGAGCCAAGATCACACTACTGCGCTCCAGCCTTGGTAACAGAGTCAGACTCCAAACTCTATCTCAAAAAAAAAAAAAAAGAAAACCAAGAGGTAAGAGAGAGATTTCATCGAGCCCATTATTTACCACACACTATCAATAACCTTGAAATTCCCTTGAAAGGCTTTTTTTTTTTACTCCATATAGTTCAATTTAGGTTCTTGGGTTTCCATTTGAAAGGATTCCATCCCAGAGGCAGGAGTAGTTAACTTTTTCCCCACCTCTGGGGATTTTAGACCTGGCGAGTTGAAGTTTACTGGGAGGCCCCGAAGGAGACCCTTCAAGAAGAAGTTGGCTGTGCAGATGGAGCTCAGGTGGGAGGGGGAAGAAAGATGGTCTTCAAAACACAGAGACGTGTAGCATATGTGTTAGATATGGTTCTGGGGAGAACCATATTTAAGGGAGGAGCGGAGGAGAAACCTATAAAGAAGACTCAGGAAGAACAGCCTGAAATGGAAACCAGCAGAATGTGGAAGGGGAAAGCATTTCAAAGAGGAAGGAGCAGCCAGAGGTGTTAAATGCTGCTCACATGGAAAGAAACACGAGGACGAAAAAGTGCACAGCAAAGATAATATTTCTGAAACGTGAAACCAATGTATGTCTGTTTCATGCTCCATAGATCGTGTTCCCTGTAATTTTCTCTCACCCAAGGAATCAGTGGCACCCACTGCTCCTGAAGGTGCCTCCGAGGTACACAGTAGGTGCTGTCCAGAACAAGGAAGTAGTTGCTCAATTTTGAACTGTATGTTAGCAAGCTTTATTAGGAGAGGAAAGAGTTTTCCTAATTCCAAAAGCAGCTTGCCTTTGCATATGAAGAGCAGGGGAGCTGAGGCTCTAAGCCGTGGTGTGGACAGGATGCAGGAAATGACAGGGGGGCTGCTTCTAGGCGGTGGAAGATGGGTGGAGGGGACAAAATGAGAAGTGTCCTGTCTTCTTCCCCAAAACCTCCTGGTTTCTGGATGCTTCCTCAAACTTTAATCTCCCAGCTGCCTTTGCTGTCTAAGTCACTGGTTCTCAAACTTTGTGGGACCAAGGGCTGCATGAGAATCACCTAGGACCGTTGTTAAAAATACATCATTTCAGCCACCCCAAGATCTATAGAATCAGAATTTCTAAGGGTAACTGAGAATATGCATGTCACGAGTTGCCTGAAAAGATTCTGCTGAGAGCCAGCGTGGAAAGCCCTGGCGCTGTGAGTGTTCCTGTTGGTCCCCTCTCTGACCATCTCAGACCAACTGCATCTCCAGGCTCGAGGGACCTGGCCCCTGAACCCTCACCTCCCCACTGCTTTATTTTTCTCTGCGGAACTATCACTAGCTAACATTCCCCATTTTGTTTACCTGTTTATTGTATGTCCCCTTCTGCTAGACGGATGCTTCAGGAGGACAAAGGCTTTTTAATTTTTTCTTATTTTCCTTATTGTTAACTGCACACACTAGGTACACAACAGACATTCAGGAACAATTAATGAATGGATGGATGAAGAATCAAAGAACTGAGAAGCTTTCTACCTGTTCTACCTAAGGATACATGATGAAACTAAGCTAAAAAAAGTGAAAGGGAAATAATTTTATCAAGAAAAAATTAAATAAGAGGATACAGCAAACTGGCTTTTCCTTTAGAGAGTCACAAATATATATACATATATGCATACACATACACAAAGTCACAGACACAAAGAGGAAAATGAGTCACAGAGATAGGAAATAGCTCAGAGCGTCTGAGCCACAGATACTCGACTATGGGTACCTGAGTCAGTTTTCCTGGAAATAGCTTTGAAATACCAGCATCTCTAGTCCTTTCTGAATTTGTAAGTAGCCTTTGGACTTTTGTTATCAAACATCACAGTTTATTCTTGAAATAAAGGTTTGTTTCCCCTTGGAATTCTGAGGCTTTCTCCTTTAGAACCTTGCAGCCTAAGTCCCTCTCTACCTGTGTCTTTAAGTATGGTCAATACTCAAAAGTTCTCGATG